AATTCCACTGTTATGTGGGGGGATTTCTCTTTGACATACTTTATTGGAATGTGCCCTGCCTTAAGGACATCACAGCCAAATGAATTCACTCCAACAAGAGTAAAATTATTAAATGAGCAACAGCCAGTGTGTAGGATTTAGTGGCATTTAGCAGTGTAGTTGCTAATTGCAATGCCCTTGCATACCCTCCTGATCCAAGTGTGTCAGAGAAACTACCAACAAGATGTAGGTTTCCAAGGTCTACCCAGCTGGGAAAAAGTTGTCTTCTTGTTTTATTGCTAACATAGTTATAAAGCCTCCAGGGCCATTCTTTAAATGTGTTTAGCAGCGTGGTTCGAGGGACTGCACTTTTGTAGCACAGCATCAGGAGCAATTTGGGGTTCAGTATCTTGCTCAAAAATACTTCAACTTGCAGCAGGAGGAGCCGGGAATGGAACCAACAACCTTCTGATTAGTGGTGAACCCACTCTACCTCTGAGCCACAGCCACCCCCGATCAGTACTGGCTGGCTGTTGGTGCACCAGTTTGGTCCAGAATGAAATATCTCAGCTAAGGATGGATTGCCATGTAATCTGGTGCATTCATGCCCCATTCAGGATGATTTCTAATAACTTTTGTGATCATTCATTGAAAAATTTCAGCGTGTCCCATATTTTGGTATGGGTGACTAAATACCTGCAAACCTAATCATATTCCCATCAGCCTCAGCTCTACTTTGTGTTTAGCGTTATTAGACACCATTAATCGTACAAATGGGAATCTCCATACACAATCTTTCCTCAGAGGCACTCTGAAAAACTCATAGTTTTATACCTGACAGAAAATAGTTTTGTTCAAACCCTGCCTAGGTTTCTCACGTACACACAACTGGCACATTACTGCATAAAGTGGGAGTGATTGTCAGTTTTCAGTGCAGTGCAGTGAAAACTAGTTAGTAAGTGAGCAGAGAAGTAGAGCAGAAGTAGAACAGTTAACATAGCTAATGGTAACAGGTACATGGTTGGAATAGCCAAGAACACTAAATATATAGTTGGAAAAAGTTAGCAAAAAAATAATATATGATTGAAATAGTTCAAAGTAATAGCTAAATTCGGTATAAAATGTAATGTATAAATTCGATTGAGAAAAAAATTTATAAAAAGTAAAAATAGCTTTATGTAACAGATGCGTGTTTGAAATAGCCAAGAATACTAAATAAAGTTATCAAAATATTTATATATGATTGAAACATCCAGCTTGTGCCACAAATAGTATGAATGCAAAGTTTAACAAACCAAAACACTGACAAAACAATTCCAACAGCATCCACTTTTATATAGTCATTAGTGTTAATCCAATTTAAAATCAATTCAATTGAACACATTTGGAACATGATTGGTGGTGTTGATATAGGGGTACATCAGAAAAAAGGTTGGGGACCACTGGAGAACAGTGCTGTCGGTTGGAAAGTTACCAGAATTGTCTGTCTCTGCCTCCAATATTCCAGTTAAGAGGGTTTCATATGCTGTTTAACATTCTGATGATTTTAGTCATGTTAATGCTTCTTTGTTATATATTTACCTAATGGGGTAATAAGGGTCAAACATTTAGGCCATTGTGGGAATAATATCAGATAAATGTAGGAAGCTTTCTGGACCTTTTTTAGAATCAGAATCAGAATCAGAAATACTTTATTGATTCCCGAGGGGAAATTTGTTAATTTAAATT